TGTAAAGGTGTGACGAAGTGGGACTGTTCTTAATGTTTCCTCTGAATACTGTGTGGGTGCCTCAGTTTCCCCTATGTATTTCTTAAGTCTCTAGGTGGTGGGGAAAGGCCAGTGCGCATAAATCACTGACACTCTGTCTCCCTGGCAACAAATGGCCAGGGCCCCTTCCCCCCCCTGCAAGGTAATAGCTAAAGGTGAACAAAGAGATCAGGTGACCTCCTGGCCCAGGAAAGAGACAAAGCCGGGAGAAGGAGGGGCTGCAGGGGGTTTCAGAGTTGGAGCTACCTGGGGACTAGGAGTGAGGGCAGACGTGGGTGTCTGGCTCTCTGAACCCCATAACGGACCCGGCTGAGGGGTCCCGTTCGCTGTACCTACAAGCTCTGTTTTAGACCGTGTTCCTGTCATCTAATAAACCTCTGTGTTACTGGCTGGCCGAGAGTCACGTCTGACTGCGAAGTGGGGGGTGCAGGACCCTCTGGCTTCCCCAGGACCCCGCTGGGGTGGACTCGCTGTGGGAAGCGCATGGAGGGGCATATGCTGAATGCTCCCAGGAGAGACCCAGGAGGTGAAGCCGTGTGAGCTTCTTGCCCTGAAGACAGTCTGCTCCGAGGGAGAGGAGGCTCCCCAAAGTCCTGCCTGGCTTTGTGGGGAGCAGTTCCAGAGCATCACCCGGGGACTCCGTGACAAAAGGGGCCTTAGGCTATGTGAGAATCAGGCCCTCTGGACTGCGCTGGGTGCATCTGGGGTCAGGATCTGGCCCTCCCTCTATTTACCTCGTAGTTGCCTCTAGGAAAGTCGACTGCAGCTGTTCCGCACCTGGGCTAATCCCAGCTGTGCGGCCTCTCCTGTCTGAAGGTGAGATGCACGTGCAATCTTCCCGAGGCACAAGATCTAGGTGGGACGTGAGGGTCAGTTCACAGGAGCAGCCCCATGGCCGGATGCTTTGCTCAGCCACCTGCACCTGCAGGATGGGGTAGTTGCATGGGACTCATCTCGCAGTGTGGCCTAGTGGGTAGAGCCGCGGAGTGGGACCTGGGTTCTGTTTCCAGCTTGGCCACTAGCCAGCTGGGTGACCCTGGGCGAGTCACTTCCCCGGGCCGTGCCTCAGTTTCCCCATCTGAAAAACAGGGATAATGACCCTGAGCGCCTTTGTAAAGTGCTTGGAGATGTACGGCTGAAAAGGGCAGGGCGAGAGCTAATTGTTGTTGTTCCGTTCAGCAAGCGGCTTCAATAAAGCTCTGATCGAAGTGGCTTTTATCACCCGCCGCGCTGCTCTGTGCATCACAGACCCTGACTGCCCCCTGGTGGGGCACTTTATAATTTCACAGAGAACTGAGGCAGCCCTCTAGAACAGCGGCTCTCAAACTTTTCAGACAACTGTCCCCCTTTCAGGAGTCTGATTTGTCTTGTGTACCCCCAAGTTTCACCTCCCTTAAAAACGACTTGCTTACAAAAATCAGACATAAAAACACAAAAGTGTCGCAGGACACTGATAGTAAAAAGTTGCTGACTTTCTCCTTGTTACCATCTAATTATAAAATAAATCAATTGGGATATAAATATTGTACTTACATTTCAGTGTATCGTACATAGGCCCGGCTTGACAAAGCCCTGGCTGGGATGATTTAGTTGGGAATTGGTCCTGCTTTGAGCCGGGGGTTGGACTAGATACCTCCTGAGGTCCCTTCCAACCTGATATTCTATGATTCTGTGATATTCTATAAACAAGTCATTGTCTGCATGACATTTTAGTTTGTACTGACTTCGCTAGAACTTTTTATGTAGCTTGTTGTAAACTCGACAAATATCTAGATGAGTTGATGTACCCCCTGGAAGAGCTCTGCGTACCCCCAGGGATACACGTACAGTGACACACAATCCATTTTGATTTGCAGGGGAGTAGCGCCTCGGTACTCCAGTGGCGCTAGGTGCTGTACAAACACAGAACAAAAAGATGGTCCCTGCCCCAAAGAGCTTGCTGTCCGATGGCTGGACCGTTCTTATTACGAATATGGTCGCACCCAGAGGCCCTAGCCAAGCTCTATGGCTTTGACTGGGTGTCTACCTGCCATAGGTTCTTATATGGCTCCCGTCGCCGATGTATGTGCGTGCCTCTCGATCGTTAATGTATCCGTCCCCTTTCGAATTCCCAGCCTGCCGGAGAGCTTGGAGCCGACAGATCTGTCCCGAAATGGGATTCTTTAGAGTCTTCCGAGAGTTTTCATCTTGTTGAGACTTTCTGTACTAATCACCTTTACTGTGAATAGACCGTCCTCCCTCTATGAACTCAGCAGCATCACCGCTGCTTGACAGGTGGAGAAACTGAGGCACGGTGGGGGGAGTAACTTGCCTTGGAGCACTGAGTCAGTGTTTGATCCCAGGAGTCCTGGCTCCCAGGCCTATGCTCGGACCACCCCTCTGTCTGTCCGGCAGTCCTGACTGCATCCCTGCACTGCTTTGCAGTTTGCTGTCTGGGCCACCAGATGTTGCTGTTCAGCGGAGAGAAATATCTGCTGGGAACGCTGCCCCTTGCAAGCCGCCCTGCCTTGCTCCACGCAAACCTGGATCATCCCATTCTCCCGACAAGCCTCGCTGACACCGCTTCAGCAGAGCTGCTCCGGATTTACACCAGTGTAAGGGGAGAATCAGAGCCCAGAGCCTCATTGGTATTGAGGTGCCTGTCTTCCATGGACAGGGTCTTCCGTGGACCCTCGACCCTCGCAGGGTGGAGGAAAAGCCCCTGGCTTGCGCCCCCATTACCCACCAGCTTTCACAGTCATTTTACATTCATGCAAAGGGGGGGGCGCGCAGCTCCCCCCGTCTGGCTTGGGAGCATTTACCAGCCACAGCACGAGGGCCCAATCCTCATTGTCACCTGTTTTGTGCCCCCTTGATGCTGCCACTAGGGTGCAAACTCAAATTAGGTGCAGGGCAATGGAGAATCGGGCCTGCTTTGCCCCGGCGTGCATGATTTTACAAGGGGCATCGGGCCCTATGTGTTTTTCAGCCTGTCTTCGACCTGGAGCGGAAGTAGTTCTGCTGGGTTTGAGAACAAGGGGATCCAAACGCTTGTGCCCCAGCATAAAAAAACATTTCTTTGGGCAACAGGTCCAGCGTGCAAACAGACGGGGAAGCCGGGCAGGGAGCGGAGGGCTGAAGAGCATCGGAAGTGCCAGCGGGGAATCCCCGAGCTAGGGTGACCAGACAGCAAGTGTGAAAAATCAGGACAGAGGATGGGGGGGTAATAGGAGCCTATATAAGAAAAAGACCCCAAAATCGGGACTGTCCCTATAAAATCGGGACATCTGGTCACCCTACCCCGAGCAGACATGTTTGGAGTGGAGTTCCACCGGGCTCCAGACTGTTCTGCGCTTCCCTCGGCGAGCTGGAGCTACGTCGGACGTCGCTGCCGCTGACACATGCAGATGCCGCGCTGGCGGAGTGGTTAATAACAACGGGGCCGGGGCCGTCATCTGTATCGCTCGGTTAGATGGGCCCCTTCGAACGCAGTGTGTTTTAATGCAGCTAAAGGCGGTGTCCTGCGGTCTTTGCTCCTAGAGGTACAGACTGGGGGACTGGAGCCTGGAAAGCAGGGACTCCGAAAGGGTCGTAGCGAACAAGCGACTCAACATGAGTTTAGGGGTGGCTGCTGGTTTGACCTGTGTATATGCCGTTGAGATCCTGGAATCCTGCGTCCAGGGCTGGTGTCCGCAGCGTAAAAAGGAGGTTGGAACATTGCTGAGGGTGCAGAGAAGAGCCGCAAAAGGGAGCCGAGGCCTTTGCCACTTGCGCCGCGTGTGGCTTTGGGCTAATTGTGTAGGCCCAGCTCTTCCAAGGCATCTCAGCGCCTAACTTCCATTGGGTTCAGTTGGGCGTTAGGCGGCTAAATACCTTTGTGCCGAGTTTTCCAAGACTCTGCTTGGGTAATGGGGCCAGCACCCGCAAGGGCTATGCCTTTAAAAAAAAATCTGGCCCTTCATTACCATAAAGCACCTGAAACCCCCTCCCACTTCCAGGCCAGTGCGTCTGGATGATGGGCTTAGAGAGCAGCGGGGGGCGGGGGGGGGGGGGGCGCATAGGTCTTAGCCCCTGGACTACCCCAGGCCTTGCATTCACTTCTGTGTTCTTAACCCAAGGTAAAAGCCCGGTGAAGCCAAGGGAGACAAAGCGGGGCCCGCAATATCTTCTAGGGGACCAACTTCTGTTGGGGAGAGAGACGAGTTTCTGCTCACAGGCTTGGCTTTTGAAGGCATTGTGCAGGTTTCCTTTGAGGCTGAGGACTGAGAGGTCAGACGCGGAGTGATCACGCGGCGAAAAATGTTCACCCTGGGGGACAGGGTGTGTCTGTCTTTTATCCCTTTCCCACGTGAGTTCATTCGAGAGCCTAGTGATTGCCTGGTTTCACCCACATAGTTGTTATCGGGCCATTTCGTGCACTGCCTGAGGTACCCCATGTTGTGAGAGGCCCACGGATCTTGAAGGGGGTATTGACAAGGTAGCAGTGGGGAGTGTCTGCAGGTTTTGTATCTGGTTTTCTGGAAGGGACCCAGAGTGGGACTCACCCATCCCCTCTCTAAAATCCTGGGACCCCTACGGCCACGACCACACTGCCTCGTGACGTAAGGTGGTTGCGGTCGTGGCTTTAACATGAGGGAGGTCGAATGAAGCCCGAGTCCTTAGCTCGTGTGAAAGCTGCAAGTTGCCTCGTCTTCATTCGGGCTTCACCACGTGGGCGCCGACCCATCCTGTTCCCTAGTGAGGACGCAGCCCCGGGGGGCTGGATCCTGGCCACAGAGCTCTGTGGGATGGGTTCTGGTTTAACGCTTGTTTTCTATTTCACACAGGCTGGTTTCTTGCCAAAGAAAAAGTGATGTGTATGCACGGTCTTTTTTTCCTTCTTCCTCCAAGCCCAGCGCCCTTACTAGTTTCCTTGTCAAAACTTCCTGAGTTGGTTCCCAGCCCCCTTCCTGCTCCCTCCCCCTCACACTGAATGGCCCCTCCCCGCCACAGCCTCCTCTGACCCACAGACTCAGCGCCCACCCTGCCCCGAGCAGGAGACGAGACCCAAACCCAAAAGAGAGCTCGTTGGTTCTTTTTTCCCTGGAGAGGGAAATACATTCTCCCTTCCTAATCTTTTTATCCCCCCTCCCCCCAATTCTTCCAGCTGCTTCGCACGGCCCATCTGCTCTCTGCTAGAGGATTTTTTGGGAGGCTGCCGGAGATACCTTGCCCGGGACAGAAGAAAGGTGAGTGCTCTGGGGTTTGCCCACAGCTGATTGTTGGATGGATACAGATCGGGGACTGTCGGGGCGCTGATCACTGGAATCCGAGCACCAAAAGCCAAGCCAGGTGCCTGAGTTACAGAGGTTGTTTACGAGAGATTTCAAGGGGCACCCTGGAGCAGCCTGCTTTCCACAGAGGGGCTGGGGGCCGGGGCGCTGTATTGCCTCTGATGTGACAGCCCAGTATTGGCTGATAACGCCCCACAGGATTCCTCTGAGCATCTCGGGTCCAGCGTCTGGGTAGCTCTATCTTCCCAAGAGGTCTGAGGCTTGATTCTGGTCTCCGGTTTAAATCTGCGGCGGGGTGTCAAGAGTTGGGGCCAGATTCTGCTCTCAGTGAAATCGGTGCAAACCTGGAGTAATTCTACGGGCGTCAGTGGACATCGGTTCAGGTTCTGTTCTCCGTGACAGTGCCGTGAATCCAAAGTCAAGCTGGGGGGCGGGAGGGGGCAAAGGAGGTCGGTCCGCGTTCGGCTGTCAGTGCTGTGGGTGTAAAGGCAGAGTCACTCTGCGGGAGTCTGGTAGGGCTGCTGGATCGACACCACGCCAGCGAGGGCAGGAGCAGCCCTGTGGTGCTGGAGCTGAGACCCGGCTGGCAAGGGATTGGCAGAGGCTGGGTTCTGTGCGGAGGGACCCGGCGCGGGGGCCTGGAGCCGGGGCAGGTGGCTGGCCAATGTGCGGGGAAGGGGGGTCAAGCGAGTCCAGCAGGGGGTTCAAAGAGAGGGACTCCCTCACCCTCTGTGTCCTGCTCCTCCAGATTTCCTCCTCCCTGACAAGTCCCGGGAACAGCTGGACGAGCCCCCAACCTGGCCATGGTACCTGTTCCTGCGAGCGGGGAGAGAGGGGCGGGGGCGGGGGGGATTAGAGCAGAGTGGGTGGGGGTTCGGGGCGGAGTGGAAGTTGGATGGGGCATAGCAGGGCGGGATGGGATGTGGGGAATAAGGCATGGAATGGGGTTCTGCGGGGGACAGTGGGCTGGACTGATCTGGAGTAGGGCATGGGAGCTGGGCTGGATAGGTGTGGGGGGATCTGGGGTAAAGACTAGGGGCTGGCGTAGGGTATGGGGGCTGGGCAGGCTGGCTGGGGTCAGTCTGGGTGGGTCTGGGGGCTGGAGTGGATCTGAGGTAGGTGCTGCATGGATCTGGGGCCTGGGTGGATGTGGTAAAGGGTCTGGGGTAGATCTGGAGTCTGGGATGGATCTGCAGAAGGGTTTTGAGCAGATCTGGGGCCTGGGTGGATCTGGGGACAGATCTGGACTGGGTCTGGATCTCGGGGAGGGTCTACAGTGGATCTGGGCACCGGGTGGATCTGGGGTAAGGCCTGGGGGCTGGATGGACTTGAGGACTAAGTGGATCTGGAACAGGGGCTGGGCTGGGACCAGGGCAGGGCAGGGATGGGGCAGGCCAGGTATGATCCCATCTAACCCCATCACAGCACAGGCTCCACTTGTCCCGCCCTGAACAGCTTGGGTCCCGAGTTGGCCCGCCCCCAAGAGGGCTCTGGCTGGGGCTGTAGGGCCGGGTGTAGCCTGTCTGGGCCAGCGGTCTCCTGGCCAGCTTGCCATCCGCTCAGCCCCGAGAGGAAGCACGTCAGTGCCTGTGACACTGCAGCGGAAACTGGACGGGCAGAGATAGTGGCTTCTCTCCGGGTTCCTGCGCCTTCCCGGGACAGATAGCCCTTAAAGGGACATCGCGAAGGGCTGGAGAGAGACACTGGGTCTCGGGACAGCCCCCTTCCCACCAAACCAGAAGGGACTTGCACAAGGTCATACAGAGAGTCAGCATGAGAAATGGCAACAGAACCCAGGAGTCCTGGCTCCCAGCCCTCCCTGCTCTAACCACTAGACCCCACTCCCCTCCCAGGGCTGGGCTCAACCCCCAGAGTCTGGACTCCCAGTTCCCTTCACTAACCACATCCCCCTCCTTCGCAAAGGGTGACGTTTAACTTTGCAGGCGAGGGGACAGCCTGGTCCTCCGCAGCATGGGGCAGGGATCTCTAGCAGGAGGGTCTCTGCCGATTGAGGTCACTAATAACAGGATTGGGGACTTCAGCAGCAGAGTCCAGGGAAGGGGCGGGGATGGTTTTATGGCCTGCAGCGTGCAGGGGGTCAGACCAGATGATCATAATGGTCCCTTCTGACCTTAAAGTCTATGAGTCTATGAGTCTATGAGTCCTTGTGGTATTTCACCCTGACCAAGGCAGTGTGATACCCGAGTGAAGGCGCCTGTGATGCGGTGGGGGGTGACATCCGTGGCTCGCGCCGCATGCGGAGGGAAAGGTCACCACGGCCGTCATCCCACCTCCTTTTGAGCCCGTAGAAGGGAACGTGCTGTGTCCCGGATGCTCAGCGGATGTGCCTCCCCAGCGGGTTCCAGACACTCGACGTCCACCCCTGTGCGCTGGGACTACATTGGGGTGGGGATCCTGGCATAGCACCTCCCCTCCTGGGATCTCAAAGCATTTTATTTATGAGCTAATCCTGCAAACCTGCTCAGGAGATGCAGGCGTTACCGTTTACCCCCATTTTACAGAGGGGGAAACTGAGGCACAGTGCAGGGAGGTGATTTTGCCCAGAGAGTCAGTGGCAGAACAGAACTCAGGAGTCCTGGCTCTCAGCCCTCTGCTTTCATCACTCAATTAAACTCCTTCCCCAAACCGAGAATGGAATCTAGGAGCCCTGCTGCCCAGTCGTCTGCTCTCACCATTAGTCCACACTTCCTCCAGTAGCTGGGAACAGAACCCAGGAGCAGAGGTTCCCAGTCTCCTGCTCTACGCTCGGAGATGGGCTGGTGGTTAGAGTGGATGACTGAGACAGGCAGCCTGGGTTCTGAATGGCTTTGGGAAGGGAGTAGGGTCTAGTGGTTAGAACGGGGGGGCTGGGATCCAGGACTCCTGGGTTCTCACTCCAGTTCTGGGGGGGGGGGGAGTGGGGTCTAGTGGTTAGAGCAGGGGAATTGCGAGTCAGGACTCCTGGGTTCCATTCCCAGCTCCGCTCTTTGACCTTGAGCCAGTCACTTCCCTGTCTCTGTGCCTCAGTTTCCCCATCAGAGCAGAACTGACCCTCTCCCACCAGGGGGATCATGTTGAGGCTTTAATCCTCACTCCCCACCCAGAGCTGGGCATAGAACCCAGGAGTCCTGATTCCCCCACCCTTGCTGTGACCACTAGACACCTCTCCCTTCCCAAAGCCATTCATAGAACCCAGGCGTCCTGACTCCCAGTCCCCTGCTCTGAGCCCGCCTTTGGGGAAGCTGAGATACAGCAGTCATGCGAGCTAATCTCCCCCTGCCCACCGCCGCACCAGCAGGACAGAGCTCTAACCACTAGGCACCACTCTGCCCTGTGACTCGGCCTGCCCGGATGTCAGCGGAAGGGGCGGCAGCCCAGGGGCTAGGGGGGTGCAGACCCTGCCGGGCAGGCATGTGACTGCTCTGCTGACTGGAGCGTGACTTAAAATAGCTCCAGAGGCTTTGAACCCCTCTGTGGCGTGGCCCGGCCCGGCCCCACGTTCCCTCCAGGGCTAGAGCTGCCTCCTTCTCCCAGCGCTGGGAGGGGAGTGGGGCCCAGTGGCTAGCGCAGAAGGGGGCCAGGAGGCCGGACACCTGGGTTCCGTGCCCAGCGCTGGGAGGGGAGTGGGGCCCAGTGGCTGGAGCAGAAGAGGTTGGGAAGCTGGACTGAAAGGAATATGGTGCTAGGGCAGCGGACTCAGAGCAGGACTCCTGGGTTCTACACCTGGCTCTGGGGTGCACAGCGAGCTGGTTACTAGCACGGAGGACTTGGTGTGAGGATGCCCCGGGAGGAGGGGTGAACGCAGTGTAGGGCCAGAGAGGGATGTGGCCGTCCGCACTCCTGCAATCCGCTCCTTGCCCTGCGGCTGACTTGTGTGACCTCAGCCACATCGCTTCCCCACATATGCTGGCCCCTATAGGGGCCACCCTGCGGCAGCACCCACCTGCCCCCGGGCAGGTCCCTGCGGCGCCCCTCCTAGAGGCCTTGGGGGTCAGTCTCACCTCCGGGCTCAGTTGCATGCTCCGCCTGCGATGGAGGAAGCCAGGTCAAGCGACGGGTAGTGGGGGAAGGGGAAATGAGCGCGGGGCGGGGCTGGGTGACTCACCGCGGCCTCCCCTGCGCGTGCGGAGAGGCCCTGACATCACCCTGGACTCACCCCGGAGGAATGCGGCGCATTGTTCACCGCTCTAGGGAGACACCCCTCCTGGGAGCGCAGCTGATGCTGATGCCAATGCCTGTGACCCACAGTGCCTGAAACCCCTCGGCCGGGGCTTTTCCTTCATCACACATTGTTATTACGGACCCAGTGTCTCTTCCATGACCAGAGTCTTGGGAGTTCGGGCAGGCAAGGGCCTGGTATGGGAGATAGCGTCTATCCCCCGCCCCTATTTGTGAGATGTCTGTGGTATATCTTGTCTTTAGTACGGCTTTTGATGCTGTCTCTCGCATTACCTTATAGACAAACTAGGGAAATACAACCTAGATGGGTGGGTGCATAACTGGTCGGAAAACCATTCCCAGAGAGCAGTTATCAGTGGTTCACTGTCATGCTGGAAGGGCATAACGAGTGGGGTCCCGCAGGGATCAGTTCTGAGTCTGGTTCTGGGTCAATATCTTCCTCAATGATTTAAATAGCAGCATAGAGACCACGCTTATAAAGTTTGCGGACGATACCAAGCTGGGAGGGGTTGCAAGTGCTTTGGAGGACAGGATTAAAATTCAGAATGATCTGGAGAAATGGTCTGAAATAAATAGGATAAAATTCAATAAGGACAAATGCAAAGTACTCCACTGAGGAAGGAACAATCAGTTGCACACACACAAACTGGGAAATGACTGTCGAGGAAGGAGTACGGCAGAAAGGGATCTGGGGGTCATAGTGGACCACAAGCTAAATACAAGTCAACAATGTGAGGCCGTTGCAAAAAAAGCAAACGTGATTCTGGGCTGTATTA